ACTGTATTACAATGAAGTGAGTACTAGAATCACCACAGTCAAGGAATCTTAGTTGCCACGGAAGGTAATATGCCAGACAAAGGCTACGCAGCTAATAAGTAGTCAAGTTCAAATTCTAGAATCCAGGGTATTTTTTTTTTTTATTGAGTTTATTGGTACATTTAGGGATACAGTACAGTTACATTCATTGTTGGGATCATGTACCTTTACATGGCAAGTCTTGATTCTCATTTTTTCCCCTTACCTCTGCCCTCCCTTCACCCCCTCCTCCCCTCCCCATCTACAAACACTTTATTTTCCTCTTTTCATTCTCTCACATTTTTTTCTTTTCCCTTTTTGTTCTTCCCCTACGTATCACACCTTCCCTACATCTTTAGCTCCTTTCCTCCCATTTCTAAATGTCAGTAATCTTATTAGAATCTTATGCATTGTTGCAGAATATTCACACCAGGGAAACTATTCGGTATTTACACATGTGGGACTTATTTATTTCACTTAGGAGTATATCTTCAATATGTATCCATTTTCCTATGAATGAATCTATTCTCTCGCTCTTTATGGCTGAGTAATATTCCATTTTATAGAAAAACCACAACTTCTTTATCCAGTTTCCAACGGATGGGCAAATAGGTTGTTTCCAAGATTTAGCTATTACAAACTGTGCCGCTATAAACATGGGTGCACATACTTCTCAGGGTATTTTTTTTTTAATCATCAACCATCTCTGACTCAACAAATATCAATGCGGTAGCCAATGATTCAATGTAATTCTGCCATCAACCACCCAGAGTTAAAACACAAGGTCAGTCTCCTCCTAAGAAACAAGCAGCCTCTTAAACTTGAGATAAGAGCGCCACTTACTGGTAGACTCATTGCATTGCAATTCAATTTTTCAACACTAAATTCAATTCAAATTTTTTTCACTTCAAAGTTTTAATTCTAAATACTGTATCAGTGATACGCAAAAAACAAAAAGCTCAGCACCAAAAAGTACACTTATATCAAAATAACCATAATGCACCCGATAAATATATACAATTATTATTTGTCAATTAAATAGAAAACTTTTTAAAAAGACAGTAGGAAGGATAATACCTTTCAATAGATTTCTAAGCATTTTTTCCAGAAAATGTGATGCGTGCTTTGTAGCCATCACCTTAATTAATCCTTAGAACCATCTTATGAAAAATATTCTAGCATTTTTATTTCTATGGTATGTATTAGTAGCTTTGCGACAACATAAAATCTTTAAAATTCAACCACATATATGGTGGCCCATCAGTCAAATCTAGTCTATCCTGATTTGTGCTTCCACAAGTAAGAAATGCGAAAAATATTAAAATTCAAATTTCAGTTCTAGTTGTATTGGAACACAGCACCCTTATTTGTCCACCTATGGCTGCTTTCAACTCTTAGTAGCTAAGTAGTTGCAACAGAGACTGTATGGACCTCAATGCCTAAAATACAAGCAGATCTTTACCAAAAATATTGCTGATTCCTGACCTAGATCTCTACCTGAGTAAAGCACAAATTTTAATCCTGTTTTTATTCATCATAAACAGGGACAATACGTACTAAGAAGAATTCTCAGTAAGATTTGAACTATAAGCACAGCATCCCAAGATACAAAAATCCTAGCCAAAAACAAAAATCTTAGTTGTCACAAATATCTTAATCTATTCCAAGAGAACTCATAATTTTGAGCTACACATACATTCCTCCTCCAATTTAGGATCATGAAGTATTTGTAAGCTTCATCTCAAAGGTTAAAATCTTGGATTCCACTCAGCTTCATTACTTACTTACTTATATGATTTATTAGCAGTAAGACAGGCTACAGGGCAATGAAGAATGGAGGTTGAGTACTTAGGTTTTGAAACTGGAATGTCTTTTTTTTTTTTTTTTTTTTTTTGGTACAGGAATGGAACTCAGATCCTTGCATTCACAAGGCAGGTGGCGGAACCACTGAGCTAAATTCCTCAGCCCAGAATGCCTACCTTCTATCCTGGTTCTGCTACTCCCTAGCTAAGTGGCCTCAGGCAAGCTATACAACTTCCCTGAACCTTCACTCTGTCATGTATAATATGGGCATAAAACTAATTACAACTCACTGGGTTAATATGAAGATAAAATGACTTAATGTAAAGGGATTAGAACCTTGCCACCAATGTACTATATGTTTGCAAGTGATTTCCCACCGGATTTAATGTAAAAAAAACAGGCTCTCCTTTGGGGGGGGTCAGGTTTGAGACAGGGTCTCACTATGCAGTTCAGACTGACCTGGAACTCACTATGTAGCCCAGCCTGGTGTAAAACTCACAGCGAACCTCCTGCCTAAACCTGCCAAGTGCTGTGATTACAGGTGTGCACCACCACACCTGGATCTCCTTTTGCTCTGTATTCACTCTACTGTATTTTAGCTACAATAGCTGTTCTCATTCAAATTATGCCAATTTATTTCCTGAAGACACTTATACTTGCTGTTTACAATGGCCCCAACACAGACTTTTCTCTCAAACACTGCACAGGAGCAGACGTTGCCTTATAAAGCCCTTAACAAATGTGAATATTTACCTCCACAGTGTGAAATGGGTAGAGTAGGCAATAAGAAATGGAGGCTCTTCTGAAGTTGCTAAACTTATCAAATTAATTCAACTGTATTATCTTTCTTCCATTTTCTCTCCTCCTTCCCACTCACCCAACACTAATCCAGTGTCAAGCATAGAGAACCACAACAAATATTCACCACACGAATACAGTGAATAAATGGATAACTGGGGGGAACTACTGTTATATATTTGTGCAGTGTGTTTATTTTTTATGTTTACATTGAAGTTTTTTGTTTGTTTTGTTTTTGAGACAGGGTCTCTCACTATACAGTTCAGACTGACCTGGAACTATGTAGCCCAGGCTGGTCCTGAACTCACAGTGATCCTCCTGCCTCAGCCTCTCGAGTTCTGGGGTTACAGGCGTGCGCCACCATCGAAGTTTACATGTGCTTAAGTGGTAGTGGTACAATATTGTCACCTCAGCACCCCTTCCTTTCTCTGAGACGAACTCCTTCTTCATACAAGGAAATTAAGCAATCGAACTCTCACAAGATTAAGGTCCCAACCAAGGGGCCCAGTTGAAATCAGGTATGTAATCGCCTTGTTCCTCATGCGTAGCTAGTTTATGAGCCTCCCTTTAATTTAGTTTTTCGTTTTTTATTTTCCAGAGAGCAAAGATTTTTTTCTTCATTTTTTTTTTCCCAGTCATAAGAGAACCATCACTTCCGGAAGAATAACGTAACTACAATTTGACTTTGGATCATTTTTGAGACCACTTATGAAGGTAATCACATTTTGCAGTTCAAGAGGTTTATATAGAGAAAGTGAAATCTAGTGAGAAAGGAGAACTAGAATCCATGAGGGCCCCTAAGAGAAGATGAAGATGGCAATTTAAAGTTCATACTTGAGAAACAACTCCCAGGCAGTGGTAAACACAGAAATACTGACAGTCCCCAACTTAAACTGCTTCGACTTAGGATACTTCAGTTTTATTATGCTGTGAAAGTGCTAAGCATTTGACAGAAGCTATACTTCATATTTGGATCTTTTCCTGATCTAGCAATACAAAACACAATACCCTTTTGATACTCAACTAAAAGCTAATTTAAGTATCCTGAGCACCTCTAGCCTAGGCTAGGCTACGATGTTTGATAGGTGTTTTAAAAGCATTGTCAGCTTACTATATTTTCAACTTACAGTGGGTTTATCAAGACACAAACCCACCCTAAGTTGGGAAGCATCTGTACATAAGACTTAGGAACTGAGAGCAGCATTTTCTCCACTGTATCATTAAAGTTGTTCTGAAAGAGAGTGAAGCTAATAGGGAGGGTCTTGGGGCTAACTCAAATCTATCCACACCTTCCACTTCCTCCTTGGGATCTGGATGTCCACTTTATCCTTCAATCCTATAGTAAATCCCATGTCCTCCCTATAAATCCATCTTTCTACTTCAGCTAGTTTGGTACTAATAACAAACCACTGATCATGCAATACTTTTTAACCACAGCACAGGATCACCTGCAGATTTCTTAAAACCAATGCCAGAGGCCCAGTCCATAAAATTAAACCTGAATTTTTGTAGTCTGGGCACTGGTTACTTGAAGTGCAGGTCAGGTGATTCTTCCAGATACTTTATCTGGATGAATTTATCTTTCAAAAGTGTTTATACAAGCGTGTGTATAGCTCTATTTTAATAAGTCTTATGTAAAGTCTTACGTAAGCTTTTAGATTGCGGGAGTGTGCTGGGGATCGAACTCAGGAACTTGTACTTGTGAGGCAGGCAGTCGAACCACTGAACTAAATCCCCAGCCTGTTATGTAAGCTTTTAAACTTGTTAAAACTACCAAACTACTAATGCTTCTTCATTCCACTGTATCAGTTCACATCAGAACCCGTAAACATTTGTTTTGGGGAATTCTTCAGAATTAATGTCAGATCCCAAGCACTGCAAGGTCAGACCCTCTAGACTTCTAAAGATCTCTCATGGAGGTTCTAACTCCTCAGCCCTTACCAGCTGCTCCCCCAACACACAGTCACATACAAATAACTGTTGTGATTCGTAACTGTTGATTCATAATGAGGTCCAATGATTCCACTTCTTAAGTATCAGGACTTAAGAAGCGGCCCCAAAACTGGTTTTGTACTTCTACACAACACTCTCCGCAAAGCTGAATTGCTCAATGCTGTGCAGTTTCAGCTTCTTCCCCCACAAGGAGATTGGGTTAGGAGCTGCTCCCTTACTTCAACTGAAGCTTGAAATCCTAGACTGGTTTTCTGGAATCTCTGGAGCCCAAAGGTCTATACCAAAAAGAAAAGACTGGTGGGCGAGGGATTTAGCCTGCCTCACAAGTGCAAGGACCCAAGTTCAATTGCCAGTACCAAAAAAAAAAAAAAAAAAAAAAAAAAGCAAAAGACTGGTGAATTACCTATGGTACCTATCTGATAAACAGGTGTCTAATTGGGGAAACCTCTGTATATCCAAGATTCACAGTATATAAATCTCACAGAACTGGCCTGTAGTCATTTTAAACTGAACTTTACCAGTTCCAGGGCCAGTAAGACCTTAATGAAGCAAATTCTTGGCTAGAAACCAGATGAGGGCAGAATTCAAAGCAGACATCTAAGAAACAGCATTACCTGTATCAGTGGTCTTAATCTTGAGCTTGCATTTTAATCACATGAAAGGCTTGCTAAAATACAGCTTCCTGGATGCTGTGTCTAGAGTTCTGGCTCAGGTCTGGAGTAGGGTCAGAATTCACATTTCTAATTAGTCTCCAAGTGATGCTAATGTGGCAGATACAGGACAATTTGAGACTCACTGCCCTACCTTAAGAAAATGGCAGGCAGACAGCTCAGACACAAAGATACTCCACCAAGACCTTGGTGGAAGAGGGGTGAAGTAAGTGGGAGGAGAAAAAAAAAAGTGCAAAAATAAAATCTCAGTACTGAAAACAAGTTTATTTTTTGCTCACATAAAGTCACATTCTCTGGGAGAGGAGATGTGCAATTAATGAAAAGGCAGACCTAGTCCTCTTTCAAGGAAGAAGAATGACTGGATCATTGCCATCTTCAAAGATATCCTGAATGTGCCTATCTAACCAGGAGATGGCAGGAGAACATGGAGGATCATGCAAAAAATCTTAATGAGGCAGACCTAGATTCCTACACCTGTATTATTTCATTTTCCAGGACTTAAAAGTCCTAAGGCCTCACACAGATACAAGGCCACATAGAGGTATGTGGTTCCTGACTGGGCAGCCATCTCTCAACATTATCTCAAAAGGAAGCAAGAATCTTTGGCAGACATCTAGCAGTCCCTGCTAACAAACATTTTTTCTGTTGCAGGCTTCTACCCCTAAGCAAACCTAAGCTATGATAAAACGAAATGTATAGTTAACTACATTTTTATCTTAATTACTAAAATGGAACCATGAAACTAAAGTGACCAATAAATTAATTCATTACCTGAGTGACTGGCAAAAAGAACAATTTATGGGACTGTCATCCCATCATTTTATGCAGGATGGGGAGAAGAGACAGATGGTGATTTATAGAGTCATAAAGAAAATATAGTTTTCTAATTCTACTGGGTTCTTCTTTTAGAATTTTATATTACTTTTTGGAGATAAAGCAAAATTTTTAAGGAAATAAGTCTAAAGTTTAATAATCCCACATATACAGCTCGATACCCTTTATCATTCTTAAAATAAATGACAAATTTACTTTTTTCAAGGATGAAAGCTTGCTATTACTGAGGATATCTTCAAAGTTTTATTGCAACTTCAAAAATAGGAATCTTTCACTCAAAAGCCAACATTTTGGTTTTTAAGATGATTACTCTTAATGTAGGTGTAGTCGTTTGCCTATATTCATTATGCAGTGAAACTATTGCCTATAGAATCTCATAACTGAAAAGCTGGAGTCAAGAAAAAAAAAATCGTCTTCTGTTTTTAGTTACATAGTACCCCTTCTAACACTGTCAAAAGAAAATATACTAATTTACAACTCTATTTACCAAAAGGAAAACAAAAAAACAGGAAGATTTTCATGGTCTTTCATTCATTTCATCAACAAGGACACATAAGGCAGCATCTTTCTCTATAATCTGGTCCCTTCTATGTCCTAAATTTTCTCTTTGTTGTTCACTCTGTCCAGTACAATTGTTGCTGTCATCAGCATCCATCGGTTCAGTTTTTACTTTCATCCCTGCTTCTGAATGGGGCAGATCATCAGGCAAAGAAGCCAGGCAATTTTGAATCATCTCAATTACTCGTTCTAGGTGTTTCTGAAAGCGCTCAGCTGTTTCAAGCCGTTGGCGTTTCTGGACTTCCATCATGACTCTCAACGTTTCTCTTGCTTGGTGGGGTCGGTATTCATTTATAAGATGATGCACATGTACAAAGAGCAGCTTAAGATCTTCTAGCTTCTCTTCTCGTTTTATACTCCCAGGGCTCCTTATCAAGATATCTAAAAGGTCCAAAAAATTAATAAGGATTGACATATTGAGTTTTCTCAGTTCCTTCTTATGATCAAACTGCATAGGATGAAGCCGTTCAATTCCCTGACTTTCCAAAGGGCGGATGATAAGATCATCACATTGGAACTGGTTGCCAAACATCATATAACTGTCCTTAATTGGAGGGGGAGGCTTGGGGGCTAGGCCTTCCTGAATATTTTCATCTGTATATTCCTTGATATACTGCATTGGAGGTGGTGGGAGTGCACTCACTTGCTGTGGTTCACCCATTGTGGAGGATCAAGAACCTACAGAAACAAACCAAAGGTTTAGAGTACAACTAAAAACCAAACGCATCACATGCAGTGACTACAGAGAGTATTTTCTTCCTTCTTCTGAGAATCTGAGGTCCAGACAAGATAATCTCCTTAATTCCTTTTTTTTTTTTTTTTTTTCCTTTTTTGGTTTTGTTTTTTGAGATAGGGTCTCATTATATAGTCGAGACTGACCTGGAACTCACTATGTAGCCCAGGCTGGTCTCAAATTCACAGTGATCCTCCTGCCTTAGCCTCCCGAGTGCTGGGATTACAGGTGTGCGCCACCACGCCTGGTGATCTCAATTTTTAAAAATAGTATTTACAACAGGGAAAGGCTATCATTCTTTTCTAACAGCATTATATTGTCAATCACTCATATATTTTCCCTTGTGTGAAGTTGGTATATGTACATAACACATCCCGATGCCTTTTTCATCCTTTATCCTTTCCCTCCCTCTCCTCTCCCTCCATCTCTTGATGCCTTTCCCTGCTGAGAACAATCCATCTCTGTACTTCCTATCATCTATTTTTCATTTTGTTCTTTATTTTACTCTGTATTTCACAGATGACATACAATTTAATATTCCAACTTATCTGATTTATTTCACTTAACCTTATAGTCTCAAGGTACATCCATTTTTGTACAGATAACTCAAGTCTATCCTTTATAACAGAATAGTATTCAATGGTGTAAATACATTTCCTTTATCCATTCATCTGTTGATGGACATATGGGTTGTTTCCATGATTTGACTACTATGAATTGCAGAGCCACAAAAACTTTCAGTTACTCCATTTCAAGAGTAGGTAATCTAATAAGATTCCCAGGTTCTCTTTAGACTAATCTGATCAGAATTTCAAGGCAGGGCAATGTCAGGTAGGACAAGTAACATATTTGGAATTTGTGAGATAGTGAAGGCAAGTGCAGGCAGCTCCAAGGTCCCACCAGGCTAACTACTGTGATAGGATTGTGCTGAGAGACAAGGGGGCAATTTGCATTGCTGACTCTGCCTCTCTTTCTCTATCGAAATGTCAGTGCAGCTGCGCGTTAGCACTTTTTTCATCTAATAGACCCTCTAGATTTCAAATGTTCTACCATGAGAACATTTCCTGCGAGGGTGGCTCTGTGTTCCAGCAGAGGTCACTGTCTTCTCTGTTTTTAAAGAGTGATCTTCCCAATTTCAAAAGCAAGTCCTTTCATTTGCGTACAACAGGAAGAACTTCCTGAGGTGCAGAGCTCTCACTCACAATCTCACAGAACCCACCAGCCTAATCACTGTGTAATTCCCTTAGGAATATGGGGAAAATCCACACACACAACTAACATACATTTTACTTTGTCATTATCAAAGAAGTAAATGCTAATCTTCTTTGAACCAACAATTCCACTTCCAGAAATTTATCCCATAAAATACTTGTACAAGCACACAAAGTTGTACACAAGGATGTTGGATACAGCATTAAAAAAAAAAAGTAGGAAAAGTTTAAAATAAGCCATTTCTTTATCAATATGAGAGCAGGAAAAAATACAATGTCTATATATTATATAACTATAAAGAACACATAGATGAGAGGTTTATAAAAACTTAAACTGTTCCATTGATTTTGACATTTTTTATTGCGAAGAGTACATGTGACTTCTTCAAACTTAACAAACGCACATTTACAAAAAGTTACATGAATTTATAAAGAACATTTTATGTTCTTTACTCAGATTCTCCAATTGTTAACATTTTCCCTCATTTGTATTATTGGTTTCTCATCCATTAATCCCCAACTACTTAAAGAATATATTCCTAAAAGAATATTCTCTTGTGGGTCGGAGATTTAGCTCAGTGTTTCCACCTCCTGCCTTGCAAGCTCAGAGACCCGAGTTCGGTACCCAGGACAGGAAAAAAAAAAAAAATTCTCGTATTACAGCACATTACTAAAGGCAGGCAATTAACACTGATCTGGTACTTCAAACTAAAATTTTAGGAAGTTCAAGTTCTTCCCTCACACAAAACTTTTTTTTTTTTTTAAGTTGAAGCTCTGTGGCTCCCTAAAGGAAGCCCATCACTAAAATTTTCATTTTCCAAAAACCAATACACAACAGGTAGTAACACCGTTTCATATTTTCCACAAGTTACACAATTCTGGGAGTGAAATAGTCTTTCATTTCAGGGATGAGGATTCCAAGTGTCAGCATGGGTAAGTACTCACATCAGACCAAAAGTCTAGTAAATTATGTAACAAGAATTCTTAATCCCGGGTCTTTTTTAGTTCCAAAGCACAAACTTTCGTAAATCACTAAGTCACACAGCAGCCAACAGTACAATGTACAACAGTACAATGAGAAATTTACGTGCTACAGAAACTACGTTTCTCTATCAATTTTAGACTGAACTTTCAAACCCAGCGAGGCGTTACTGTATTAAAACCAGCAATAATTATAGCTGGTTCTCAGACCCACATCTTCTAGTGTCTGACTCTTTGGGGGCGATGGAAGGGGGCTGGGGGGGGTCGTTTCTTCAAAAGAATAAGGGTCCTCCCTCAGAGATGTGATTACTTTTGTCCACTGGTATCGGGACCCTGACGATGGGCTCGAGACCTACGTCCCCTGCTCCCAGAAGGACAGAGATGGTGGTTCCCATTTTACTAAGGACCAGAGAAGGCAATGCATCGCCAACGTTACACAACTCGGAACGCAGTCTGGGTCTCCGGAAGGAGGCCAGGCTGCCCACCAGGGCCTCGTCGGCGGGCAGGAGAGGACGGGGAGCCGCCGCCTCGGAGCCGAACCTCGCCGGGTCTCCCGATTCCCAGCCAGCCCAGAGGAAGACGAGGGGTCGGGCAGGAGCAACTCACCAGGACTGGAACCACTAGCGGTCTCCTCCCACTCACCTCAGCTCTAGGTTTACACTGTGGCAACTTTCGCCACTGCAGCCCAATCCCACTTCCGTTCTCCTCCAGGAAGGAATCACTGGCGCGCTCCTTTGATTGGCTGCAGGAACTGTCCTTTACCCGCGGGTCTAGTCCCACCTCAAACCGAAAGCTTGCTATTGCGCCTGCGCATACTCACTGTGTCCTTCTGGCGCGGTAGAAGACTTGTCAGGGCTGAGGTATCTTTCTTTGTGTTTTTCTGTCAGTAAAAGTAGCAGCTGCTAGTTCTGTTCCTTTGTTTCCCCTTTGTAACTTTAACTGTTAAAATTAAACAAGGCATCCTTTTGCCTAATGTAAAAAGAGAATCACTAAATATGGATAAGCAGGTATTTAAAAAAATTCTGTCAGAGTTAGTGTCACCAGCAAAAAGAATTTTTAAAACATGAGAGTGGACTCTATATGCTATTTGTTGTATATTTTTTCAATCTGGAAAAGCTGTGAATATAATTTGAGATCAATAATATTCTGAATATTCATTTCTTCACCATCTGTTTGCTTTTCATTTAGGAATTCAGAGATGTTTATTATATTTTTCTGGCACAAATTACCAAATAAGAAAAATTAGACATAAGTAGGGTTTGTTTGTTTTTTTAGTCGTATTTTCACAAAAAGTGTCACAAATTTCCAAGTTCATGGGAATCTCCCCCGCCATGGGAGTCTTTAAAAAGTACGTTATACATAAAAAATAAGATTGTTATCTGATACAGATTGTCAACATTACCTCTTTAAAAATAGGATTCTTTGATTTCATTTTTTAAAATTAATAGAGAATTACAAACATAAAAATAGAGTGCAGTATACTCTTCAACCAGCTTCAATAATTACCTGCCCACGGAACCACTTCCTTTCATCTATTATAGCATGCATTTCTAAAAAGTAAGGACTTTTTAAAATACAACCGTACTCTTGTTTCATTTAAGAACAAAGTAATAAACCTTTCATATCATCAATTAAAACTTTCATATCATCAATTACCGGGGCCGGGGATTTAGCTCAGTGGTTCCTCCGTCTGCCTCTCATATCAATTACCAGGTCAGTATTTGAATCCCAAATGTCTCTGGCTTCACAGAAGGCCCACCCTTTCTGACTGGCTGATGTGTTTTTCAGTTACCTGTTAGTCTATAGATTCCTCTTCCTCTTTCAGTTTTCCCAGGCACACGTTCGTTTGTTGTTGTTGTTGTTGTTGAAGAAATCCATCCAGTTTAAGTATGCACCTGGCAGGCTTTCCTTCACACTGCTGACACCACTATGACCTACTATAGTGACTTCTCGTGGTCGTGTTTAGTTCTCATTTTACTCCATCCGTTTGCATTTGGCACATGTGATCGTTTGAATTGCCCCAAGAGACTTAGGTATCATGCAGGTGCTAACATCCGGGTAATATCACGCAGGCCCTGGAACTCTCTCTCCTTTCTACCTTAGACCCCTGTGTGCACATTAGACATCTTTATCCAATTGTACTTTACCCATTTGCAAAAGCGGAAAATAGGCATTTTTTTCTTTTTTCTTCTAGCACTCCGCTGAAATCACCATACCAGCCTTTTGTATTAGTTCTATTTAAAAATAAGTAGTCTTAAATATGATTAATTTTTAATATTTCCACTGCTGCAATCCCAGTGATATCATCATTCTCTCTCACTTAGACTTTGGAAATAGCTTCCCAACTGGTTTTCTTGCTTCCACTTTGTCTGTTTACCATACTGTTAAAGTGTAAGGCCAGTCATTCCTTTATTCAAAAGTCTTCAGGGCTTCCTGGCACATTTAAAATAAAATCTAATGTCTTCACCATGGCCTATGTAAGACCCTACAAAATCTAATGTTTGATTGGTAAAGTTTAATTCATACATTAGTACAGTAGGAAATTAATAACGATAACAGACTAATTATAACAACGTACTGGAATGAAAGTTATGTGAATGTGGTTTCTCAAAGTATCTTGCTTTTCACTTTACAGCTTCTCTGTGTCATCACTCCAGCGTCTCTCCTGACAGCATTGCTCCTCTTGAACTTTGGGGCCGTTATTAAATGAAACAAGAATTTCTTGAATACAAGCACTGCAATACTATGACGATGGATCTGATAATGGAGATGGCTACTAAGGGGACAAAGGTATGATTCACATTCCGGCCAGGTCAGAAAAGGACAGCACTCAGATTCTAACATGCTACACAGAATGGTACACAATTGAAAATTTATAAAAATTGTTCCTTTTTGAAATTTTCCATGTAATATATTCACAGCAAGATTGACTACGAGAAATTGGAACCACAGAAAGCAACATCTGGGATAAGCAGGAAATGCTATATTCATTTCCTTTTTTTTTTTTGGTACCAAGGATTGAACTCAGGACCTTGTGCTTGCGAAGCAGGTGAGGTGCCACTGAGCTATATCCCTGGCCCTTCGTTTCTTTTTTTATTAGTAGATGTGATTACATTCATCAGGGAAGTTGGTAAATGTACATAGTATATCTTAGTTCATTTCTTATTCCTTTTTCCACCCCTTCCCCGCCTCCAGCTCTTTGACCCCTTTCCTTTTTTCTTATTTCTTTTTCTTTGGGTACATGTTTATAGTACATAATAGTCACCTGCCTTGTGTGGAGGTGACACATGTACACAGTGAATCCCAACTCCTTTGCTTTACTCCCATTTCCCTCTTCATTCCCCTCCTTTCCCTCTCCCCTCCATACATGACTTGGTCTCTTCCCATATGCAAAAATTCTAACTTTGCTATTTGTGTGATCTTTTATTTTGTTTTGTTTTTTTTTTCCGGGGGGCGGGTATCAGGGAACAAACTCAGGACCTTGCAAGACAGGCGCCATGCCACTCTGGCCCTCTTTTGTTCTTAATTTATACTTAGGATTCTCATATGAGAGAAACCATGTGATATTTAAGCTTGTGTGTCTAATTTATTTCACTTAACATTATTGCCTCAAGGTGTATCCATTTTCCTTCGAGCAACTTATTTGTCCTTCTGCACGGCAGAGTATGTACTCTTTTGTGTGTAGATGCCACATTTTCTTTATCCATTCATCTACTGATGTACAGATAGACACTTCCAAGATTTAGCTGTAATGAATTATGCTTCTACAAACATGAATATGCATACATCACTGTGCTTTGATGTCTCAAACACTTTCAGAAAGATTCCTCAGAGGAAAATAGCTGGGTCAAATGGAATTTCTAGTTTTAATTTCTTTGAGGAATCTTTGTACTGATTTCCATAGTGGTTGTACCTAGGTTATATTTCCACCAACCTACAACTTTAACAGCATTGTTATTATTTGATTTTTCTTTCTTTCTTTCTTTCTTTCTTTCTTTCTTTTTTTTTCTTTTCAGGACCAGGAATTGAACTCAGGACCTGTGCTTGTGAGGCAGGTGCTATGCCACTGAGCCAATTGTAGTAATTTTTTAAGCTATCAAACATAATTTAGAAAACATTAAAAAATGAAAACCTGTTGTATTCTCTTTCCTTTTTTTCTTTTTCTTTCTTTTGCTTATCGTGTACTTTGGTCTTTTATCATCTTCCAAGATCTATCCTACCCATTTTCTTTTTTTTTTTTTAATTATACCATTTTCTTTTCTTGTTAGAGAACTTCCCTTAGAGATTATTTTGAAATAGCTCTGCTGGTGACAGTATTATTTTCCTTCAGCTGAGAATATCTGAGTTTACTGTTGATTCCTAAAGGTCAGATTTTCTGACCAAAGGATTCTGCATTTTTGGTTCTCTTCCTTCAGCCCTTAAAATATATCCATGATGTGTTAGTTACTTCTCTCGTTGCTGAGACAAAATACCCAACACCCAAAGTTAAAGGGGGAAAGGTTTATTTGTCTTATAGCTCACAGAGGTTTCAGTCCATAAATAGCTGGCTCCAAGGCAGGGTGGCAAAAGGCAGAGAGGCATTGCAGAGGAGAAACATCATGGTGCACACAAAGTGGCAAAAGCAACAAACGACCTTAACAACATCTCCCTGCCCCTTTTATCTTATTCAGACTGTGTACGTCACGTAGTACTCACACCCTGACTCCCCGTCCTAGTTCCACCATGAAATCAATCACACACTCTAGATTTAGCCACCTCTGAAAGAGCCTATGACCACATGAGGATTAGGGAGGACATCTAGACACAAACCAGAACACATAATTTCTGATGAAAAACTTCTGATGAAAAAAACGTTTGAATTGCTGTTTCTTATTAGTGTTTTGCCATTTTTCTATGGTTGTTTTTAAGGCTTTTTCTTTTTTAAGAGTTTCATTATGACTTGTCCAGGTCTAGATTTCTTTGAGTTTATCCTGCATGGTAGTCATTTAATTTACTAGATCTGTAGATTTTTGTTTTGCCAAATTTTAGAAATTTCAATCATATTTCTTCTAGTATTTCTCAGCCTTGCCCTTTATCCTCTTCTTCCAAGACGTAATGGTCTTTTGTTGTAGCCTCACAGGTCCTTGAGGTTCTGTTCATTTTTTTTCCTAATCATTTTTCTTTGAATTGTTTAAATCTGGTAGTTTTTATTTTCTTTTGGTTCACTAATTTCTTCTTTCTTCTTGAACCTGATCATCAAGCTTTTTTTTTTCTTAATGTAGCTGTTAAATTTTCAACTATAAAATGTCTGTTTGGTTCTTTTTGGCGGGGAGGGGTACTGGAGATCAAACTCAGGACCTTGTACTTTTGAGGCAGCAGTAGGCATCACTAAGCTAAATCTCCAGCCCCTTCTTTCATCTATTTCTTTGCTGAAAATTTTCTTTTTCTTTAAGGATTTCTACTTTTTCATATGTTTCGATAATATTGTTAATTCCTTTGTTTTGAGTACTTTAAATCCTTGGCAGATAGTTCTAAAATCTCTTGGAATTTTCATATATAGATTATCTTTTTTTTTTTTTTTGGCTTTATCTTTGAGTGTTTCTTGGTATGACAATGATTTTTGGCTAAAACTGGACATTCTTGCATTATGTTAGGAGGCTCTGAGTCTTTTTAAACATTCCTTTGATGGGCTTCTGATGACAGTACTCTTGGAGGGGAGTAGGGAGAGGACACTCCTTATTACTTCTGTAGAAATCCCTGTTCTCCACTGGGCCTCAGTTCACACCTCTAGATATTGGGGCTTCTCATTAATACTGGGCAGATGTAGGAGTTCCATATACTGGGGTCTACTCCATCTTTTTGGATACATAAATACAACCATCCATTTTTTGTTTCTTTCTTTTTTTTTTTTTTTGGTGCTGGGTATGGAACTTGAGTCCTTGTGCTTGTGAGGCAGGTGGTGGAACCACTGAGTTAAATCCCCAGCTAACCAGTCCATTTTTTAATAAGAAGTGAATTATCAAGACAAGCAATGGGATATTTCTTTCCTTCCTTTTATAATCTATGTGTTGTAAATTTTCTAAGATACATTATTTTGCAATAAGAAAATATATTTCATTTTTAAAAATTTTAAATCAAAATCATACATGCTACACAGTAGTGTGACTTTTCACAAGATTCATGGAGTCAGAAGGAGGAGAATCCTGCTAACCCAATGTTGTGGGTAATAGTTGCTGAGAAGCTGATTTTGAGGTGGAGTTGTAGGAAAGAAAATTTCTTAGGATCAACACCTATAGAAAGGATGAGGATAAAAGTAGTAAGGAGAATTTGGCTTCAATTTAGGCTTCACAGGAAGCTCTGAGATTAGAACAGTCCTTCCAAGTTAGTCTTTGTTGCCCTGAGACGGGCAGAAGCTTCATACTTCAAGTTTTTCAGTCTTTGGTGTGGCCTCTGAGAGAAGACTGTCATATTGGGTGAGGGAGTTCTCTGCACCTGAAGCAGTTTACAAATTTGTTGTAGCTGAAGGCTGTTGATGGGCAGCACTCCTAGAATGAGGCCACATGTCCCTCATTGAAGGAGTTTCTGGGTAGTGCATCATTTTGTCTACTCCACTGGATATTCTGATGAGAAGTTGTCTTTCAGAACTTCTCTTCTGATCTCTTTCTTTCGGCTATCCTGGGGATTGAACTCAGTGACACTCTAACGCTGAGTCCTTTATTTTATTTTGAGACAAAGTCTCACTAAGTTGCCCAGGCTGCCCTTGCCTTGTAATCCTCCTGCTTCAGTGTCCCAGCTAGCTGAAATTACAGGTGTGTGCCACCTTGCCTGGCTACTTTCCTCATTTTATAGATCCTGCTGCAAAAGACATATGCTTCCTCTGCTTAAAGATTCCAACATGACAAACCCACGTGAGAGCTTATATTTGTCTTGGCAAAAGATCCCTGTGTTAACATATGTGTATGCTATATATTGGGGACACATGTTCATAGTCAGCTATAAATGGCCTCATTGCATCTGCAACAGCAGAATTCCTACTGTGGTGATAAATATTGCTGTTAAAAATATCGGCCTTTATCTGACAGAATATTGCCTTGATGCCCCAATTGAAATTTCTTTCTGGAAGAAGAGGCTTGTTGCTATGAAATGTGTGGGTGTTTATGCATGTGTCTCTTGATCAAGTGTCAGAAAAGGAAATGCGGAGAAAGTACATAGCAGAGCATATCACGGTAGTTAGGTCCCCACCTCCTCTTCACTTTTTTGGCATTTGGGTACATTTTGGGTGCCCTCAGCTAACACCTTCCATGGTTGAAAAACTATGTTCATGTCAAAGAAGCCCTCCAAAGGATGGGGATGTATACGCAAGACTAGGAAAGGACAAAAGCTGAGGCCATGTTCTGCAAAATCATGAGGTTAAGCTGTTTGTAGCAAGGATAAGTCAGCTTCTGGCATAAGTGTAAATTTGAGACTTTGGGCCAAATATTGAAAAGAGTTTCCCTTCTGTCTTCTACTGTACATGCCAACCTCTCACATTCCCGGAGGCTCTGCCATAGACTTTCGAATCTTTACATTGTGCCTTTCTTGCTCCTTATACTTGTACCCACTACTCAAGGGTCAACTCCAAAGACATCTGAGTTCCTAGCATCTATCAGTCCTTGTATGTTAAAAATCACAAGGTAGGATTTTCCAGCCATTCACCAGACCAACTGATAAAAGCTCCCCTTCAGACTGGCAAAGCCACAAAACATTTCATTTCTTACTTTTTGCTTTTCAAAGGATGTGCTTGTTTTTCTGAAAATACAACTTCTGTCCTA